GCAATTTTCAACCTTTTCTATTCTAAAACTCACCCTAAACCTAACCATTACAATGCATACCTTACCCTAACCCTAACCCAATTGATACCTTATCCCTAAACCTAAACATTAGCAAAATAGCTTGTGAGGACCAGCAAAATGTCCTCACTTTACAACAACTGGTCCTCATTGTGATGGTTAAATTGGAGAAATGGTCCTCACTCTGAAAGAAATTTAGCCACAAACACACCCACACACCCATTCACACACAACAACATCACATATTCATAATCCCATAATAAATCCCTTTTTAAAATAGCGTTTTATTTGACTTAAACAGGGACTAAACCCAGTGCAAAAACATATCCGTTGCCCTGAACAAGTTTTGAAATATTCTGTTAAAGTTCTAAGAGACGCTTTGAGGGACATGATCAAGGTTGGAGATGGTATGAAAGAGTGGGAGCTATGCTAACCAAGAGCCTAGGCTGTGATGCAGACATCAACCAAGCTGTAATCGTTATAAACAACATAGAAATTAGGCTATAGTAGTGATCCTTCCCCTTAAAGAGGTCAGTCCTAAAAGGTTCAATTCAGAATTTAAAGACATTGGACAACAACATAAATTTCACACACTGAAGGCCCACTTTATACAGTTTATGTGCAAAAAATTCAAATTGGGCTTTATCTACTAATCCACACCACAACAACTGAAAATCTTTTTAAAAACACTTTATTTTATGCCATAGAAGTCAGCGATTCACCATCATTTTACTATGATGGTGAACTTTTTCTTAGCTGAATCCTACACAGCCGCTGTGGGGAAAGAAATGGCTGTTCTCAGGTTCTACAACTAAGTATAACAAGGAAGAGAAAGTAAGAAACTGACCACTGACTGAAGAAATGCCTTTCCATTGCATGAGTCAGTACATCAGCAAAACTTTCTGAAGTTTATGGTTTATAAAACACCATACATTTCACTAAAATAAAAAAAATAACCTTACACCAAAATAAATCCTATGATCATAAGATAATTTAGTAAACAGAAGGTATGTTTAACCATTTAGAAATTCATCTTTTAGATTTTATTTTATATCTATTTTGGAATTCAAAGTTTAAAGACTTGAAATAGAAAAACATGACATATAATGTACAACTGCAAAGTACTGTTTATTCAAGTGTTGATAAAGTATAAATTCATCTGATCTTACTGAGCCTTTTCAAACAGCAACTCTGTTTGTAATAAATCAGTGGCAGTGACTGTTGGCATAAAGTGTAACATGAATCCAACGACCATCCAGTGTGGATTTGCAGGATTTAGTAACTTACACAACATTCTTGACACGTTTACTCCTCATAATGCCCTGAGAGACTGAATGCTGAATTATGACTCAGTAAAACAGAAGCTGTACAGCAGCAAAATGTTCAGTGCACTTGGAGGAAAACAATTATGAGAGGTATTTACAATGCTTTCCGGATTTTTTGCTTAAAGTCGAAATAACAGCAAAGAATCTGTTGAAAATAAGGCAAACTTATGAATAGAGGGGAAAAGCATGTCCATAATAAAGAATTGACATCGGAAATGTAGATTCCTAAGTAATGAAGCCATAAACTTGTTACTTTAGGATTTTACTGTAACTTATTAATGATTTCCTTTTATCTTTTATCTTAACTTAAATTGAGATTAGGCTCTTACAGGAAGAATGAAACTGTGTCTAACCATTAAACCAAAGCAAGACCAACTCAAAGACCAGTCATGTGAAAATACTTCACTAACATTACAGTTCAGAAGATAAATATAAGCCTGAGGGCACACACATTTGGTTAGTTAGTAGGCATTAAAGTAAAATACACAGTAAAGTTTACATAGAAGTGTCTTAATGAGATTATTTCCACTCTGTACTTAATGATTTTTACTTTAGTACTGAAACAACAATTTACTATTTTTTCTCTACATTTCAGCATTAATAAAATGTCAACATGTTAGGGTTTTAACAGCCTTTCACAATGGAAGAATTAAAAAAGGATCAACACTCAAATAAATATCCATCCATCCATTTTCCATCAAGCTTATGCCAAGCGGGGGCGCGAGGGCTGCTGGTGCCCATCTCCAGCTGTCTACAGGTAAAAGGCTGGGTACACCCTGGACAGGTTGCCAGTCTGTCGCCGTCAAATAAATATATAAAAATGACTAATAGAAGAGCAAAATAAAACCTCCACCCATTTTTTTGTCTTTATGTGCCTTGAAGTTTTGTTTTTCCTTTAGAAATTAATCAATTTATAGGGATGGATGTGGAGATAATAACCTTTTAGCCACACAGCATTAGTGTGGAGAATCTCATGTAATTAATGATATTAAGGTTTATCAAATAATAAATGATGCCATCAAAGTTATTATTTCCAGGATCAAACAACAACACTGGATAGTACACAGGGCTGTGGTTTCCAGATGTTTAAGGAGGAGAGAATAAGCAGTTTCTTGGTTTTCAGTTGGAATAAAGAAAATGGAATTAAGTGATTCCTTCATCTGGACTGTTTTCCAAGAACACAGTGAGGAAAACAGCTTTTCCATGTAAAGGTTCAGCGCTCTCAGTCCAGCAAAGATAAGCTTCCAGCACAGGCCAGCGGAAGATACATAACAGAGGAGGAGCAGTGACCTTCACACTCCTCCACAAACATCACTCATCACAAGCTTCTCACTCCACACCTCATTCATCTCACTCCCACGCTGTTCCTTCTGCATCCAGTCTCCTGCTCTGCAGAGAGAGCAGGTGAAAGGTGGAAAACATGGACAGAAGGACAGGAGTCTTTTCATTATGGTTATATACATAATGTTTTACATTTTTCCTCATGCAGTTGTTATGTGAAAACCTAGACTAACACTCCACTTGACATCCTGCTCATATTTGTCGATTTGTATTTATCCATCTTTTTCTGTTCTCTTCATCAGCAAAGAAATATGACGCAGCCTGAGAAAAGCAAATGAAAAAGTTGCTGAATCCTGGATTAGTCCAACAAAGTTAAACAACATTCCACTGGACTTTGTTTCCAAGTTTGAAGACGTTTCTCTTCCCATTCAGGAAGCTTTTTCAACTCAAAAATTTCAGAAATAGCGTTGAGTTTGAGGCTTTATAGAGTCGAACAAAAACAAAGCCTTGTTTTGGCTTAGAAAACATGCAAATTTAGCGGCACATATGGGTCCACCCCTTTGGAATGGGTGTAGTTTGGCTTGTTTGTTAGCCTGTAATACTGTAACCAATACCTGTCAAAGGGGGTCATTAAAGGTAATTGTTGTGCTGGCTGGACAGGTGAGGTTCGATGGTTCCTGGATGGGAAGTGGAACGTCTTCAGACTTGGGGAAAAAAAAGTCCAGTGGATTGTTTTTTTTTTTACTTTTTAGGAATGACTACGACCTGGAGAACTGAGAATCTTCACCAACATCCTGGATTATTGTTATGTATCATACTGCCACCAATTATTTGTAGCAGAGCTATAACAATTACTTTAATAAGAAGAACTTATACATAATTTTGGTTATGTTTTTAAAATATAAAAAAGGACAATTTTGGAAACATATAGATCAATTAATGCTGTTTAATCATTACCACAGTCACAGTCAATCTTTGGCTATAATAAAAACAACCAGATTTTATAAAACTTCTTTTGTAAAAAAAAAAAAAAAATGACTTCATTGATCTTGCATTAGAGATATTTAGTTCTGTGTTTAACCCATCCTCTTGGGGAGCAGTGGGCTGCCATCATGGGGCGCCCAGGGAGCAGTGTGGGGTTGTGGGGTTAAGGGTCTTGCTCAGCGACCCAGAGTGGCAGTCGGTGGGAGTGGAGCTCGAACTCAGAGACCTCAGGATTCAAAGCTCTATGCCCTAACCGCTAGGCCGCCACTCCCCACCAGATCAAATTATAATGAAAAAAATAACTCCTAATTGAATATTTAAATTTTACACAGATATTTTTCTTTTTCATAACTGTTTATATACTGAGCAATTTTGCATTAGAAAAGCTGATACCCAGATAGAATTCTATCAATTGATTTGCCTAAAACTATTACATTTTCTACTTCAACAACAAAAGTTAAATCTAGTTCACAAATTGGGCTTTAAAGATATATGGTAATCCTTTCTTTGACAATACAAGCCCTTCAGATTTTAAAATTGAGCTATTCTAACTGAAACCAGATGCAGAAAGCATAAGGAAATGGTCCTCTTACCACACTCTGAATGTTGGAAACTCTTTCTGGCCTGTACCATGATTTGTGGATCCTACAGATGGGACAACTATTTAAGCGGTTTGTGAACTCACATGTCAAGTTTGTTTTATAAAGTGCAGAGAAAAACTTGAAGAGTCTGGCAAATGCAGAACGTTTGAAATGAAAATGTTTGGTAACCCTGTAATCAGCACAGAGGGTAAAAGAGGTCCCAATTTCAATCGCCCACAGCTAAACCACACATCTAAGTACAGCTACTGAAAACTTTAGATTAAAATGAATTTACGCATCAATAATATGACTTGATTAACAGATTAACTGGATTATACTGCAGCCTGTTCCTCTGTTGGCGAATACAGTTTAACACAAACACAATTGTTTGTAACGGTGTGCTTAGAGATGCCACAAACAGGACAAAGATCAATAATTGTGAATCTTCCAGAAAGATTCATTTGCATTTGGTATTAAACTTAGCAGGTGGTCTAAACCCCAGATTATATAACACAAACATATAGACCTCTGTGTCATTTTTAAGAAGCTTTGCATAATTATCCACTATTATGTCTGATAAAATCACTGTATCAATGATAAAATATGATAAAACCACCCGATTCTGTTCCTTCTGGAATATCAATATTAATAGATTAACCAGTGCAGATGTTCGCTTCATTCATCTACTACATTCGTTCAAAAGAAAATGAACTGCCTTAGCTTTTACCACCAATCAAGCATTTGTTTAGCTGGTATCACCCTAAACTGTAAATCTGTCTTTACTGGTTCTGTTTCTCTCAGAGATTCCCACCTTTTAGCTTCTCCGCTAGCAGCCCCGCCTCATGTTCAGAGTAATGTACGATGGGAGGAGGTGACGGCGGACGCAGGCGGTCTTCGTGGATCTTTCGTCGATGCCTTTCCTCTCTGGCTAATAGGCGCTGTTTGCACTCCCACTCATACAGGTCATCTCTGGCTTGGGCAAAGTCCACATGGATCCTTCCAGAGTCCTTTTTATCTGTGCTCGAACCAATGCGCATCCGATATCCTAAATGAAAAATGGAGGAGTGCATTTTACGCTTAAAAAACATCTTACGGACCCTCTACATCTCTACTTCGACAGACTTGCATGCAAAGACACCATCCATCCATCCATCCATCAATCCATCCATCCATCCATCCATCCATCCATCCATCCATCCATCCATCCATCCATCTATCCATCCATCCATCCATCCATCCATCCATCCATCCATCCATCCATCCATCCATCCATCCATCCATCCATCCATCCATCCATCCATCCATCCATCCATCCATTCAAATTTACTCACCTGAAAGGTATATAGCTTTGTCAATCATGAACTCCTCACTGAAACGGATGTGGCAGAAGTTCTTTTTGCTCTTGCGAATGGCAGTGATCTCCCCACATTGGTCAAAAACCTCCCTGATGATGTCTTCTGTGGCGTTCTCAGGTAGTCCTCCCACAAACACTGTCTTACAGCCCGGGGGGCGCTCCCGCGTGGATGGAGGAGGCAGATCTGAAGCACGTATGAGGGCATCAGAATAGGTGTCATTACTGATTCACTTATTCATCCACTGTATGTGTGTCAAACCAGTTGACTGGTACCAGTATGCATGTTATCAGATATGTGACACATTAAAAGTAAGTAAATAAACCCAGCAGATATGTATGCTGCTGTCAGACAATAGACAATATACACATATATATTAATGTGTGTATAAATAAACTAATTATCTTTATCAGTCAAATTCCTTTTATTATGTTTTCTCTGCTTTAAATAAAGAACAAAACACCATTCCCATCTCTGACTGTGTCGTCCAAGTTGAAGGTTTCTTACTGGGGTTCTGAGGGAAGAGAGTGCAGCTCTTGCAGTGGATAATCTCCTTAATGACAGGCAGATCCGGGGGAACAGGGGGAGGCGGGACCAGGCCGATGCCTGCCATCATGGGGTTTATCGGTGCAATAAGGCCCAGTCCAGGGTCAAATCTGGGGATACAAAGAGGGTCTGTGGGACAGACAGAGGAAAAGAGACTGTTTGAGATCTAAAAGATGACATATTTTACATTACAAATAAAAACAAAGGCAATACCTAATCTGACATCTGGGATTTCTCCCCTGACGCTGCTTTAACCTGCAACATCAAACCTGCTGAGTATTGCAACATAGTTTCTAAATTGATTTAGCTGAGTTTTATTTTTATAGCACTAATTTACAACACATGGCATCTCAAGGCATTTAAATTAGACAATTTATATAAATTATCTAGAAAGGTTGATTGAAAATTTGCATTTGAGGAAAAACAGCTGATTGAATCTGGTCACTGACTGCGCCGCATTTGCTTCATCTGGATGAGCATATAGCACAAAGATAGGAGATAAAAACAAACATAAGATGAAGTTAATATGAAGGCCCTCCTGGTGACTGACATATCAGATGGTTGCAAACCTCTCAACTAGAGAAAGAATAACATGAATCAAAAACAGAAGAAAGATTAGCTGAAAAATGGAGATGGAGAACAGTCTGGACATGGGTTTGTAGAATAACATCATGAGGAGCAGAGAGTAATATTAAGAATAAGATCTGGTAATTCTTAATTATCTTAAGAATACAAAAACATAATACAGAAAAATGAGACCACTATGGGGAGGATGGCAGAAATTTTTGTATTGGAATATCTAAAATAGCAAAAATAAGAAATTAATCACGAAGAAATTTTAAAAGATTAAAGAAGGTTTAGCACAACCGGCCCATTGCAGATAAAGCTCTGCAGCAAAAGTACAAATAATCAATCAACAATTAAAAACAAAATCATAATTGATGAATAGCCTTTCATTTTAAAGTGAACTAAACACATAGATACATACACTAACTGCACTGTCATGAACCAGTCTATACCAGATGGTGGGAGTATTGGTAATAAACATGCCTGCAATGCAGACAGTTAGAGAAAGAGAGAAGGACCTCTGGCAGATTACTTAATATTTGGTTGTGAGACAGCAGGTGTGTTTCGGTGAAAAGAAAACTGCAGGTGGATGTTCACTATTTTAAAGCGATAGGGGGGGGGGGGGGGGGGGGGGGGGGGGGGTTCGGTCATCGCTCTAAGCAGAGTCTGCTGAGGGGCTCGGACATCTGTACCGGATGTCTAAGGTTGGTTCTCACCCAAAACGGACTCTAAGCTCAGGGAAAAGCTAATTAAGACCGGTCTTGAGACCAGAACGGGCCTTGAGACCCCTAAAACTGTATCCTTGTTTAATTAGTTTAGCTCACATAATATTACTTGTTACCCATATTTCTAAGAAATATTAAATAGTTTTAGAAATTTTCATATATGAATAATCAGTTGCTATGGTTCTTTTTTCTTTATAATTCTGCACCTTTGAACAACCCTGCGTGATCTAAGATGCTTTTGATTGTATTTAGCTTTTTTAAATGCTGTGATTTTCATAGAAACAATCAACAGATAATTTTCACATCTTTATTTAAATGCAGCTAGTAATTCTCATAATGGGAACCTTTTTTTTTCTATCTAAGCCAAATTTTCAACTGCAGCTCATGTAGAAGTCGCTCTGCTCTCTGTTCCTCACTATGAGGTTGGTGAGGCTTCCACCTGCATGGCATTTCTTGGAGAGATAACATAAATAATTAGCTTAACTTAAAATCATGGACTAATTTGTCTGCATATAGGTTTTACTGATATCTTCAGCATGGATTATGCTGCTTTCACCAGTAAATCCAATAAACTGGATCCCTTTGTTCACTCTTCCATGCTGTTTGTAGATAGTACTCCTACAGCAGCCTAAAAAGGTGCTTTTTGTAATCTCACCAATCAAATGGCATCATAAAGTAGGTTCTAGATAAGAATTTTTTATAAAACATAAAGTGCAGACCCAGGGCTGTTTTGACTGACATGAGAACACCCAGAGCACGCATGAACGCCTTAGATTCAATCAGACTTGATCTGAAATACAACCCTACTGCTTTCTCTTAATGGCTTGAATCTAAACTGCTTTTTCTGAATTATAAAATTAATACTTTGCTACATAAAATACACTGATAAACTCTTTAAGATCCCAGCTTCAAAAATGGGTCAAACAACAAAGGAAATAAAACCAAGAGATAAGAAAGGATCACTATATCCCGGAGGTAACATATATGAAAAGAGAGCTGAACATTGGATCTGTGGCTAAGAAAACTCATCTCAAATGGGTTTATTGGAACGGTAAAGGAGAGGGAGGGAAGAATGGTTTGTCTTTTCTCCAGCACAAAGAAAGTGAGGAAGGATGGGGAAGATAAACAATGAGAAAACAGAGGCGACAGCAGCAATGCTTCTCCTGTCGGGGGGGGAAAATGGAGCAGGCAGGCAGGAGGAGGGTGGTGCAGCGTCGCCCGTTTCCATCTTCAACACTGCAATAACAAGGGAGCGGGAGGAGCAAAACGTCAGCAGAATATCCTCCTCCACCGCTGCCCACACAGTCGCAACTCCACCGGGAATAAAGTGATTTAAATCACAAGAGAGAGAAGCTGTCACAAAAGGAAATGATAAATGTTCCCCAACAGTAATTCAATAGAAATAAATGTTTCTTTTGTTCCTCTGTGCAGAGAAGTGATAGACTGCTACTATGATTCAGTGTGAAAGCCTTTACTACCTTTACATTTTCTGTTGACTTAGAGAAGATCATACAGATGTTAAACCTGTTTACATTGGCTCTATATAACTTGTACAAATTTGAAATAGGCTGATACAAATAACGGTTATGAATCAGAAGAAGTTTTCTTATTTTATTTTTTAGTAAAAAGCTCAAGATCAGTCAGATTGACACAGTTCTTTAACCTCAGGTAAATATAACGCCTTCTTCCTGATTTTCTCTCAACAACCACTCTATAGTAGTCAGTCTTCCATAAAGACCAGATTAATGTAATGCGTGAAACTCTGGTGTTGATAGATTCTCCTTCAGAGGTAGCATGAATCTTTGGGATGCCCCTCTGGTTGGGATTTAGATTATTTTTCAGTATAGAAGTGAACAGCTATTTTTTGTCTGTCACATAAAATCCTAATGACGTTCACTAAAGTGTGGCTGCAACACAACAAGAAGTAGAATTTTACCTTCATATATCAGCACTTGTTTTTTTTTTTTTACATGAGAGGTTGTTCTTTCTTATAGTATAACTTAAGATTGTTTTAACTTATTTTAAAGGTGTTGATTTTTGCTGACAACAACTATGCGTCACTTAACATACGTCACGCACTCAGTTGCTCTTATTGGTTGTAGGTCTATCCAATTGAGTGCAGAGGCATTTGTTTTCCTGGTTCGTTCGAAACCGGCCCATAATCACAGCTCTATGGAGCAGTGGCAGACTCATATTCTGACTAGAATTGAGTAGGACTACGTCAGTCTAGTGAAATGGGGCTTTAGAAATAAACTGAATTCAACTGAATAGAGAAACAAATGTATTATTACTGTGATGATAGTGATGCAGTTGCATAGATTCAGTAACAGTGTAACAGTGGCCATCATGCTGCAGAGTTTTCCTACATCCCAAAAGATTGTTCATCAATTCTTACCTGGTGATCCGACTGCGTTTGTTAGAATAAAAGGAATAATTTTCTTAACACCTAGTCTTCCCACGCAATTTTAAAACAAAGGATTGAAACACAATAATATGAAGATGGCACTGAAATGATCTCAGAAACGTCAATGCAAAGTAAATTGACTTAGAAATAGATATTTATGAAGCTCAGATAAACAGTTTGATGGTAGATTTTGAAGATCTGTAAATATCCAGTACAAGAAAATCAAGTTGTTGAGATGCTAACAAAAAAGCTATTTCACAAACACTGGAATGGAAGACTCTCCTGGCAACTCCTGGTATTGCAACTCAAATGTTTGTACTGTGCTGTGATTTTGCAATACAAAGAAGAGCTATTGAGTTTAAGAACATTCTTTTTACCTGACATGCTGTAACATTTAACTAAATTACTTTCATGGTACTTTTTACCACATGGTACTTTCTACCAAGACCCAAAGCTGCAGCTTGTACACTCCTATTCAGAACAAATTTAACAATTTTTTTATTTTATTTTTTGCTGCACAATCAACTGTATTTAATAATGATGAGGAAATCTAGAATTTGATGCACTTTGATAACTTAACTAACTTGACTACAGCTTTCCACCATTCAGGAACAAAGAGTTAGCTAAACTTAAAAATTGCAACTGAAATCTGAGTCTATCCTTAGCAATGGAGACTCAGCAGATTCTGGGATTTTCAGAAACAACCTCTCTTGACCTTGAAATTTTACCTGGTTTCTAAGCATAAACCAGAATAGCTATAGATATGAAACTGGACTTTTTGGCTAGACCATGTTTGTTGCGCTCAACGAAATTAAAGGTACAGTGTCTAATAATTACAAAGATTTACTGACGTAAATGGTATATATTATCTATATAAAAGTCTAAATCTTTACGTTTGTGTTGCCTTAGAAATTGTTATGTATCATTACATAGGAGTCGGTTCCCATTTGTGGAAGCAGACATCTTTTGTGTCACAGCAGCGCAGAACTCAATAACTAGTGACTATAGCAATCGTCCTTTCGCTCGAATGGGACTAAGGAAAGTTAGGCATATATACAATCCTACACAGACTAATAAAACGCTATTTGTAAAATTATCTATGTAAACTACCCTAACACCATCCACATCAACAACCACCTGGTTATTAAGACTTCTGAATGAAAGAGAAATAGTGTTTCTCTTTCCCTCTGTCCATGTTTGTTTTGGTCAGATTGCCTGAAACAGGAGGCTGAATCACCTGGACAAAAGAGGTCAGGAGAGACGCATTTCTGAGCTCAGGCAGGAGTAGTGAGAACACCGTGAAAGACAGCTCGGGAACCGGGACGAGCCAGCCAGGTATAGCACCCTCAGGTGTAAGGAACCACAGCAGCAGAGGCAGGAGCTCAATGCTGCTAGCTCAGGAATAGATCTGAGGAGCACAGCAGAAGCTTGGA